GAAAAGAAGTACCCTTCGGAAGGCAGTATTTTTAAAGCAGTGTCACTTAAGAAAAGCTGGGTTTTGGTTTTGATGGGGAGAAACAGTACTGGTGTCGAGATCAGTTGGCAGAGGCTAAGTCTAAAAACTTAGTGTTTTCCAATCTAAGAATTTTTAGAAAGATGAAAAATGCTGGATTTTATCAGCATGTTTTTCCTCACCATGCAAAACACTTTTAAAATTACATTTATAATTCATTGGTTTCTAAACTATTTTAACATATGCTTTTTCAGATTTAAGAAAAATATACTAAATGCATACACTCACATTAATTAAACTTCAGTGTCTTGAGTTGTTGTGATCATTTTTAAATGTTGTGGTTCTTTATACAAATGAGAAAAAATATTCCTCAAGTATCCAAGCCATCACTGTTGCGTCAAAATCATTCATGGCTTTGGCTTCAAAAAGTTTGGTTTTAATTTTTGTAAGTGAAAATATCTTCAACTACTATTCTAATTGATAGTTATTAATAGTTATAGCTTAGGATGAAATAATAAAAAGTTCCTTTAAAATATGTGACTTCGCAAAATGAAACTGAAAGTTTACATGTATGAAGGTCGTGATTTCGTTAGCTCATGGCGGCCCATCAGAGGGTGGCTTTCGCACCCACAGGCAACCGCCCGCTTGGTCAGACGGCAAAATGTGTTTCAGCCACACCCTCTCGTTTTGTTGTTTTCGAAATGCCAAACGTGTGAATGGTTACTCAAGCTGATGGTGACAGTAGTAGTTCGGGCGTTGCCTTCTTAAACATCCTCCAGCTTTCTACTTCTTCCTCCCCATCTGTCGTGCTTGTCCACGATGGCTGGACTGAGCTTCCATGGAGCTGTGCTTCACTGCTGGGTAAAAATGTATTGGGACACAAGAAGTTGGCTACAATGATTAAACCATGGGATCCAGGTTACTGGAGTATGAATAGATGTGCAACTCAATACAAGTGATCATGTCCTGAGTCGGTTTTCTGACTGGATTTCTGACAGCTACATCACTTACTTTGACCGGCTGAGATTTCTAGAGTTGGCTTGAAAGCTGCAGTTCTAAGCAAGTGTGGATATATTTGAACTAAATACCTTGCAGGCATGTCAAGATAAATGTTTAATAGGAACAGGTTTTATTTAAATAGTGGCAAAGTAACGTGGGCATAAATCAGCTGTTTGAGTCAAAAGTGTAACTTAATTATATATAATGTTGTTACATGGCCTATAAATTTCTGTTAGGGCATCTAGATAGAATTCAGGGGAGCCAGAGAGGCCTGAGAACACTAATAAGCCAGCTGAGAGCACTCGTGTGGCTAATTTGTCTCCTGTCTAAGAATGTAGAGATTAATGCACTTCAGGGTGATGCTCTGGCCACATTGGTCGGTGAGCAATTTGGAAGCTTTTTCAGTGGCCCCTGTCAGAGGTCGTGTGACCGACTGAAGTGGAGAGGGTGCCTTCAGAGTTGCCTACCAGCAGTGGGGCTCCTGGAGTTGAGAGGGTCCTGAACACCAGGCGAACGACTGCGCCATTCAGACGGCAGCCACGGGGCTGAGGAGAGCTGGGAGGCGGTAGGAGAAGGCCAGAAACTTACCAGGTGTGGGGCCTTTGAGAAAACTCCACGTGATTGGTACTTGGTGGGTAACTTCAATAAATTTAAGGGTTTGGGAAACAACATAACTTGCATATTGTGATTATTTCACCTGCAGAATGCTGGGGGAAACTCCAGTTGCATGCCTGACATCTGAGGAAACCAGGCCGAAGGGGACAGTGTCACGGACATGTCCCTGGAAGCTAAGTGACCATGTGGGCCTTGCCACACACCGCCTGCCCTCTGCACGGAGGATGGCCCTCTGTCTGGAGGATGGCCCTCTGCCTTGACTGGGCTTCCAGCTGTTTGGGAAACAAGCTCCTGAGAAAAGCAGTTCCTGTTTCTCATCTAGTTTCCGATCCTGAATCAGTGAGTTGCAGGGAAAATGTAGACTGAAGCAGTATCGTTCCCTTTTTAAAAAGGGTTCGGGTGATTTGAGAAGTAAAAGGAAATGGAAACTTAGGACTGATGCTTGGAGTCCGAGCTAGGAAAGATGGCAGACATTTAGGGGCGTTTTCCTTTCAGAACAGGAGGCATTAAACAGCTAATTAATGTAATTAAAATGGCAGCAGAGCATGTAAGTTCGAACAAACAGAGCCTGGCCCCCTGGAACGGCCTGTGGAACGTGGCTGGTCCTGGGGTGTGAGCTCCAGCCCGTGGGGTCCCAGTGATGTCACTGGGGCCCGAGTGCAGTGGCTGGCGTTCAGTACGCCTGCCTTCACCTCATCTGTGCAAAGCTTGCCTCCCGTTATCCAAGAGGCTTTCCTGAGGCAGTTTGCATCCTTTAAGGATGACCACGATAGTCCCCTCTATGTCCTTCCGGAACCTCGCTTGGCAGAGTAATTCCCTCCTTAACCTGGGCGAATTTGTACCTCACAATAGCGCACAGTAGACATGACTGAGAAAGGGCAGTAAAAGAATGAGTCTCTGGAACAGCCTGGAGAGCTGTGCCCCCAGAGGCCAGCCTGACGCACCCTCCCCGCTCCCCCTGCCCAAGGCTCAGGCAGCGGGGACGCCTCGGCCAGGCTGCGTGGCGGTGGGGCCACAGGGAAGAGCAAAGCCAAGGCCTGGTGCACACGGCTGTCGGCCACCGTGGACCGTGTGGTGGCACGCTGGGCCTCGGTGCTGAGGAGGCACTGTGTGGCCCTGGGCGGAGCCCTGAGAAGACAAGGAGAGACGCCCGGGGCACTCAGCAGCTCCCAGCCGTGTCCGCTGCAGCACACTGGAGACCCAAGTCCAGGTTGGCCTGGTGAGTCCTCGAATTCTGGACCCTCAGAAGCTGCGAGAAGCAATAAAACAACTGTTTCTATTTTCTAAGTCACTCCGTTTGGGGAATTTGTTGTTGAGGAGAGTCACAATTGTTTGCGACCCTGGTGTTCTTTCGTGAGAATGTGTTTTTTGCTGGAGGCGCTGCGAAGTCAGTGGATTTGACTTGCTTTTTCTCCCGGGTCAGTATTGTGAACATAGGTCCAGGCTGCTGTGTGTGCCAGCCTGATGCATGGTGTGCTGTGGGCTGTGTCCACTCACTCACTGGCCCTTCTGGTCATGGCCCCTCCATTGCCTCTGATGCCCACACCACAAACAGCTGTCGTGGGTATTCCAGGACGGGTACCCTTTTGATGCTCCATGACCCTTCTTGGGGACCAGTGGCAGAGAGCTTGATGCTCTTGTTCTAGCCAAGCCTACTGGGCTTGCCTGCAGGCGCCTGTCCACACTGCCAGAGCAGGGAGGACCGACACAGCAGACAGATGTCCCCAGTTGGCCCACTTGGTACGTTACAAGGAACCAGCGGGTCTGCTGCAGAGCTGTTTCAAGTGCTCAGATACTCGTGCACTTCCTGCCTTCCCCAGGCCTTAGCTCAGACGCTACTGATACCCGCAGCGGCCACCAGGCAGCCCTTCCTGTGCGCCCCCACAGAGCCTGCCGCGCTGCTCATTGCTCTGCGTGGGGCACGGCGTGTGTCTGGCTGGTGAGTCTCCCGAGAGCCAGTTGGCTGGCGCACAGCGGGTGGTGCTTGAGCACTTTGCCTGACTGAATCGGGTGCCACTGGGACCAGCCTCCCCAGCGCCTCACCCTGGGCCTCCCTGACCTTAGGGAGAGGATCAGGAGGACGGACCCCCGGATCTCTGCCTCCACCTGGACTCGCCAGGCGAGGGCTCAAGGGCCCCAGGACAGCCTGTGGGCACATGGCACTGCTCTGGGCAGAGGTTTGGTTTGTCTGTTCCAGAAGTACTGGGGGCCTGAGTGTCTGCAGTGAGGTCTGCTTGCTGGGTTTCTCATTGGATAAATCCATGAGGCTCTGAGCACCGCCTCATGTAATGTTCCTAAGACAGAAAAGGGAGACGCGACAATTTAGAAAGAAAGAAAAAAGCACTCGACAAAAAGCGCCCCAATGCCTAACAACGCAACGCTGCACTGCCTTACTGCAGCTACCGGCGCCGCGTGGCAAATTAAATTTAATTAAAAGTAATCCTGCCATCACCTGCCATGCCAGCCACGTTTCAGGTGCTCAGTAGCAATGTGTGGGCCGCTCAAGAAGAGACCACCCGTTTCCGCCGCCACAGAGAGCCCCCACCGCACTCCACAAAGGAGCAGACCGTCCAGGCCCGTCTGGGGGTGC